GGACTGTTTTTGGCTAGCCTTCCAAAATATTACTCTCCAATAATTAATACTTTGCAAGTTAAAGGAGATATTTCTTTGCAAGATGTTATTGCTCAAGTTGTTGAATTTCAAAATAGGCAGAACTTAATGGAAGGCAATTATAATACAAAACAATGGACAGAGAATTAGCTCAATTTGCTGCAGAGGATTTGCAAAAGGCCTCCTTTCCCCTTCCAGGTCAAATAGAAACCATGTTGACAAGTCAAAGCCAAGACCTGAGCTGCAAAAGCTGCAAAGCCAAGGGCTGAGCACCAAAAGCAAAAGCAACTTTAAGCAAGCAGCTTTTAACTCTAAACTGAAATCTTCCATATTGGTTTGATTCATGAACAATTATTTCAGATTTCTGGAGATAAATATAAAAACCAAGTTTTAATTGATTCTGGAGACAGTGCACATTATTTCAACAGCAAAGAATGATTCATTGATTTTGATACAAATGTAATGTTTACTGTCTATCTTGCTAATGGTTAAGAAGTTTTTGCACAAGAAAAAGGGACTATTATTTTGCAAACAAAATTTGATCCTGACAGAATAGGAAATTTACAAATCCTTGATGCTCACTATGTACTAGATCTGCAAGCCTCCTTTTACAGTGTGTGAACCACAACATCAAGAGGCAGCAGTGTCAGTTTGAGAAAGGAAACCTGCTTTGGTTTTCATGGCAAAATTTTGATTTTTAGACCAGACTTAGGATCACATGGCTGTTATCAGATTCAGATTTTGCGTTAATTTGGAAACAGTGTGACCCAATGGAATCACAAAGAATGCTCAACTTTATGACATCACAGATATGCTCATTGAAGTGTGGAAAATATTAAGAGACTGGCCAATCAAGAACTTGCAAGACACTTTAAATTCAGAGCATGCTCCAACAATTGAAAATGTGTAGAATGCTTGAAAGCAAAGGCCACAAGAGCTCCATACCTTCCAGTTACCGAGAGACAATCCAACAAGGCATTGGATCTTTTCTATGCTGATCTTTCTGGACCAATGAATCAAAAGTCAGCAGGTGGCAACTCTTATTTTATGACTATTATTGATGATTTCAGCAGATGTACATACACTTACCTTCTCAGAGAGAAGAATCAAGCATTTCAAAAATTCAAAGAATACTTTAATTGAGTCTCTAACAAATTTGACTACAAACCAAAGAGCCTGCACACAGATAATGACACCAAATTTGTCAATGCTGAATTTGATTAATTTTTAAAGGAACACAACATCGAGCATCACAGGCTTATTCTCTGGAACAAAAATGCTTAAATGCTATTGGTCCAAAGCCATCATGACTGCT